TCATTGGAAGATACTATAAATTAGGTACCCAGAATTAACCAGTGATCCCTATGTGAAACATATCAAAGATATTATTGCCTCTAATTTGGCAGTGTCCAGGCTTGTGATACCTGGAGACCTCTAAGTATCTTCCAGAGATACACAGATCTTTCATATATGAAAACATACAAAAAAAGTCCCTAATCAAGAACATTTAGAAGGTAGTCTTGCCTGGTTTTGGGTTCTGACTCTGACACTCATTGACCCTGTAACTTTGTATACATTTCCTCTAAGCTATACATTTCCCATTGAAAAACTGTGTATAATAATAATCATTGCCTAGTAACATTTTATGAGAATTAAATTAGATACTGCTTATAAAGTACTTAGGTTAATGCCCAGCTCACAGCATTAAGCTTATGAAATGTCTTTCATTTTTCATTCATTCTCTCTCACGTTTGTTGGAATGAGGAACACATTCGGTGCCCATTATTATCTCAAGAATTACCATGTGCATTATATTCTCTCATTATAGATTATGATGTAGATCAATATTTTGCATAGAGCTGCCACTGTTTTTCTCAGTAATATAATTTTATATTAGTAATGTTGACCACTGACAAAATTAGGAAAATACTTCACTGTTGAACAAAATCACAAACAAAAGCAATAACAAGAGGCCAAATATAGTTTAGCATTCAGTGGGTGAGGGAAGAAAACTGACAAGAGGCTTGAAAGCTAAATGTAAAGATATCCACAGAAGACACACTGGAAGAGCTTGAACTCCATCCAGCGAACTGTGATTTTTACAAACTCCTCATTAAGCCTGAGTTTATGAAGCCAGGCTGGTTTAACTAATCCCAAAGCGTCTGATGAGCAAAGAGCTTCAAGAAATGCTCCAAGACTTCAATTACCTGGAACTTAAGCTCCAAATAGGGAAAAATCCCAAACTTCATTTAGTAAATTCAGTGGCACAAAGAGGCTTCTTTGTGCAAAGTAAGAAACTAGCTGTAATATTCTCCAAATAGATGTGTGATATTTAACACTGAAACCTGTTTTAATCTGAAGCAGTTGAAATTCTTTCTCTTAATTTCTTAAAAAGTTACCAAGTTAATAATTTTATTTGTCAGTCATTCATAGAAAATTTTTCTTTAAAGCACTTTTAGCCTAGAGGAAAAATAATTGTATATGTCAACAAATAAAAATTTAACTATGATAAAAATGCATAAATAAATTGGTATTGTTGTTACTCATGTGACATGCTTTTTACTCAAGCTTTAGAATATCAGAGCATCTTGTCAGATATTGATGATAATTTTTTGCATTAAGAACATTTGATGACTTCATCATGAAATTTGAATCTGGTGATTTTGTCCCACATTCAAGTTGTACTCACTATAGACAAAGGAAACCCACATTCTATTTTTTTTAATCATCTCTTTCATTTGGAGAACTGAAGAGCAAATAAATTAGAGAGAGGTCAGAGTAATGGAGTATTGGGGCAGGAAAGATGGCGGAATGAGATGGACATCATTACCCTAGATACATATATAACTGTGCATATGGTGTAACTCTACACTGTGCACAACCAGAGAAATGAGAAGTTGTGCTCCGTTTGTGTACAATTAATTTATATGCATTCTGCTGTCATATATACCTAATTAGAAAGCTTGCTGTAAAGAAAGATACTATCTTTATTTTCTTGGTGTAAACTCTGTCCAACCTCAGTATGTGGACAAAAAGTAACTGTTATAATCACACACTGAGTATAAATCTCAAAGAATTTCCAGACCCAAGTTCCAGAGAGTTTTCTGTGTTAGAGTCCTGGGACTGCTGAAGCTTAAATAAACCTACTGCCCAACAAATAAATAAATAAATAAATAAGAAAGGAAGGAAGGAAGGAAGGAAGGAAGGAAGGAAGGAAGGAAGGAAGGGAAGTCAGAGAAAAATTCAGCCACAAAGTTAGAAAAATAGAGATGGACATGAAGACTGACAAGTCTAACTTCAAATAACATGCATTTCAAATCTCAAGAAAGAAAAGTCTATATTTGAGTAACAATTTTTGTATTTTCAGGGTTTATCTCCTTGGTGGTTTAATCCAAAAGCAGTGATTGAGAATAAGGAGACCTAGCATCTTATCCCATCATAGCCCTGACCTTGTTATATGAAATCTTGCAAATTCTCTTCCTCATTATCCCTCAATTGCCCCCTATGTAAAATGCAGAAGTTTGGGCTGGAATCAATTTCAAGGATTCTTTCTAGTGCTAACATTCAGTATATCACCCTGTGTCAGGCTACAGTCACGTTAATTTGTCACATAACTGAATCCAAACCTGACATGTAGTAAAGCGTGTTTTTTAAAGTCTCCAAAAATGGCTTTTATACTTTCATCCTTAACTGAACTTGATGATCTAATTATTTCTCACCATTCCCAATTCCTCCCCTTCATTTTTTTCTTGGAACATTTGTTCAGAAAATTGAGTTACCAATCCTGATACCTAGTGTCTAGAAATAAGATTCACACCACCTTTTGAAGTGTTGTAAAGAATGAGCCATTTGTACCCTAGAAATCAAGTGGCTGCCAGGCTGTGTACTCTATCTATACCCCCCTGAGGATACACAATTTCACTGGCTTCAGAGCCTGTTATATCAAAATCCAGACCATAATAGTGAAGACAGAGCCAAAAGAGTGCACAAGCCATGATTATTTGTTCCCACCAAGTTATGAGTATAAAGTGATTATGATTCTGAGCTGGCATTTGAAGAGACTGCTCATTGTACTGCATTACTACAGAAATGGAAGCCCCTATTTCAAAACTGCTTTTCAGCACAATAAGGCTCTGCTTTAACTTACATTTCATAGACTTGTAGAAATGAAAAAAAAAGCCAAAGTTTAAAGTTTGATCCTTAAAAGTAGAAGTGGGGTTTCTAATTGCCTAACACTTAAGTAATATGCTCAAATTTAACAGAAAGCTGAGTCACACTTGCCTACATTTTGAAGAAATCTCCCAATCCTATGTGTATGCCTATAGACACTAACACATATACAATATATCTAGGACTAAAATATAATAAAATTCTATTTTAGATATTTTTAGTAATAGCTCGATGATTCTCAGCTAACTAGAATTTTCAAGCAACCTCAATTGCAAGAAACCACAAAGTCTTGTGTGAAAATCTTTACTGAAAGTGCAGCAAGCTTCATCAGAGAGACAGCCTTTTAAAAAATCAAAAGTTGGGCTGGGGTTGTGGCTCAGTAGCAGAGCACTGGGTTAGCATGCATGAGGCACTGGGTTTGATCCTTGGCACTACATAAAAGTAAACAAATAAAATAAAGGTATTGTATCCATTTATAACTAAAAGGAAAAAAATCAAAAGTCAATTCTCTACTGGTGAAAATTAATTTGGGGGGCACGTGCAGCTTTATCTTATTCCTTTTAAGTGCAGTGTATCGTATGATGTTTCTAACAAACTGGTTCAGTTTAAACAGCACTCCATGCACCATGTACTATGCTCTTTTTTTTTTTTCCTGACTGTACTTCAAGCTAAAGACATTGTCATTTTAACTATGACAGGGATTTAAAAAATATTTTATGCATTTATTCAGCTACTATAAGTAAATATGCAATTTACATCTTTATTATTACATTTTAGAACCCAGTAGAGCAATAAAAATAGTTTGCAATGGCTTCTTATTTTGCTGTTGTTTTCAAATTTACTTCAGTGACTTATATTCTATAATCAACTTTAACTGGGAATTACTTGCCATTTCTAATGAATTTCTGAAAGTTTTTGCCACCTGTGTGAAACTTTGTGAAAAAAAAAAAAACTAGCTTAATTATTTTCTTCCAGATTTATTTGTTTAGCTGAAGTTTATTAAAGATAATAACTGCCATTTTTATGAGACTGTTTGCAATGTATTAGTAACTAGGTCTTAGTTCGGTTAATAGAGTGAGGATGTTTGCTTCATCAATAATACTTAAAATAGATTGAATATTCACTGTGCTGTAGACATTCTATTCTTTATATGAATCATCTCATTTAGTTTCCACAACAACCTTGTGAGACTAGTTCTATTATGTCCTGCTTTTTGAATAGGAACCTTGCTACAGCGAACTAACATGGAGAAATCCCATATGATGGAGGAAAAAATAGAAACTGGTTTTGCCTAACTCCACAAATATAGTTTTTTTTTTTTGGCATTACACAATGCTGACTTCCATTATAAATGACGCTTTTGAAAAAAACATGCTATAAATGGATTCAGTAATTGTATTAAACCTCAAGAAAATACAAAGCACAATTTCGGGTGCAATATTAAATGTTTGTTGTCTTTGTTGTAGGAAGTGATGTTGTAAAGAAGAGCTGTGTTGGAATGAACCCATTATACAATGGCCATGTTGGAAGTCTCCCAATTTTTAAAAGGATGCTGCACAATCTTTTATGCAACTGAAATTTTAATGTGAGTTATAAATCTAATTAAACCCAATAATAAAATATTCATGAAAAAGTACAATTAAATATTCTAATAATTCTTATAATATTTGAATTGCTGAAATATCAATCTTTTTAAAATTTACAAACAATTTAAGAAAGCCTCTTGAAATATCTTTTAAAAAGTTGCCTATAAGGACATAATTTCTAAAATAAGCATATTATAAAAACAATACAGAAATGTTCCTTTTGGTCTAGCGTGTTTCTTCTGTGAATATTTTAAAGCATGTAAGTGGGATAAGGTGAATTTAAAATAAAAATCTTGAAAAGTATCCATTTCAAGCATGAGGCATAGATCTCCACTGTTGTTTTGAAAATGCAATTGATTTTTTTCCTTGCATTATGCTTTAAATACATGGTGTCCAGTGCGGCCAGCTAGGGAGTTTCATTGAGTGAGTGAAACCCCATCTGGTAAAGTGTTTGAATATGTGCTTAAGCGGACACTCTGAAGGGACAGAAAGCAGCAGAGCAAAGCCCTGGCGCCGTGTCACTGCTGTTGTGGAGCAGGCACCGCGCAGAGTACCCACCCAGCAAGGTCAGGACGCAGGCCAGGATGGCCACCAGGGCTCCCGTGCTGAGACCAGCAGGCAGGACGTAGGCCTCGGCGTTGCAGGTCTGGGCTACGCCGTCGGCGTCGCAGTCACAGACGCGGATGGTGAGCGTGTTGGTGCTGCTGAGAGACGGGGACCCACTGTCCACGATGAAGATGGGCAGGTAGTACACCGACTGCTCTTGTCTCCGGAAGCCGTTCCTTCTGGTGAGTATGGAGGCCGTGTTGTCTAGGGTAAAGAAGGTCAGATAGTGGTCAGGTTGCAGGTGAGACAGAGGCTCCCGGTGGACTCCTTCTTGCCTAACCTTGGGTCCCTCTGTCTGTGTCAGTCCTCAAGTAGAGCAAGCTCCTGATTTCAGACCATTGCTCAAAAACTCTCTGAATTCGTTTGGATAGAGAGACATCCTTCCAGTATAACACCTTTAAGACATTTATGTTATCCCACACATAATCTGCTATTCTACACAATAAAAGTCTACCTACAATTGTGCAACATCTCAAACCATGTATTTTTAGAGTGAAGGTGGAAACCTAACAGGTTAAGTATTTTTTGCAGCAGCACCATGAGGCATGACTGAAATTTCCAATCCATCCTTTCTTCACAAGTTCCAAGCTCAATATAGAAAAAAGTAAAATAAGCTACTGTGGCTTTATTAAAATTCAATATAGAATAGTTATTTGCTTAACACAGAATGTATTCTGGGAAATACATCAGGTCATTTTATCCTTAGGGGAGCATCATGGCATGCTCACCCAAACTGAGAAAGCTGCAACATCACTAGGAGATATTATATGATGGGACCACTGTCACATAGCCATCATGGATATGGCCCACCACCAACTGAAGTGTCAGCACATAGCACAGGACTATGTGTGGGTATTCAGTAGGGAAATTATTGTACTGTTTTCTTTTTAAAATATTCATAGATACGTCTACCTCCTTAAACTGCATGTAATAAAATATGTTGTCAGTGATAACTTAAGTCATTTTTGTTTAATTTATATTCGGTATTCTATTTCATCTAAACATTATAGTAATTATAAATATTTAAAAAGTCATCAATATGTTTATATGACATGCTGTGATTTCTATATCAGAAATGGATTTTTTAATTTGTTAGCAATTTCTCCAGATAAATTGTCTTAATTAACTAATTATAGAATTTATGGGGTTCTCAGAATTTATAGTAACTAATAAAAATTTAAAGCAAAAGAAGGGAAATCAGGACCATAGTTTTATCCAGTGTGTATATGTGTGTGTGTGTGTGTGTGTGTGTGTATATATACACATATATACACACACACATAAATATATATTCACATATGTATGAAAGTATATAGACTATGTATATAAAGAATATATAGAGAAACATGTAAAAGGATGTACATATACAGTGTTATGTGTTTATCTGAGTGTCTATATATATATTCTTCCAAAAAGTTAAATATATGCTTATCCAATGCTAACAGAAACCAATTAGCAATAGTTGGGTTAGGTAAAGTGGCAGTCATCTCTAATCCCAGCTACTTAAGAGGCTAATAAAGGAGGATTGCAAGCTTGAGGCTAGCCTGTATAACTTAGCAAGACCCTGAATCAAAAATGCACACACATATAAATAAATAAAAAGGACTTAGGGTTGCAACTCAGTGGTAAAGTGCCTGGGATGAACCCTTAGTACTGCATGAGTAGGTGCAAACACACACACACACACACACACACACATTAATAATACTCAAGTGAAACAGCAAACTGATGTCCTTTCTATCTCAAACAGCACAAAACAATAGGCTCACCTTACATTTCATAAAAGATATTTACTACAATTATAGATGATAAAGAAATAAAAGTATTTGATTATCATATTCCCTCTGGTGGTTTTTTATATAAACAAATCTATTATTTTAAAAGATATGGCCATAATTTTGAGACCATATTTTTTTTAAATGAATATGTCTCAAAATAGAAACAAAAATTAAAAGTGCTGTGGGTATAGCTTGTCTCTGGGTGTTAAATCTCCAGTATTAGGAAACAAACAAACAAACAAACAAGAAAAAATTTGATATGGTACTCCCTGAAAAGTTGAGGGATTTATATTGTACATGTCCTTATACACTTAATATATTAATACACAGGTCTTATTATAAATTTGACTCAGATAGTATTTGTGTTTAGCATTTGATACAGAAAAGTTTTATAAAGTTGTCGATTTGTAATCTGACACATCAAAAGCACACATGCACACATGCAGACGCACACATGCACACACATACACAATTGATTAAGAAGCACAAGCTGAAATTTCTACCATGGGAAAAGAGAACCCTATGGTCAGCATGCTCCCCAAGATGGAAAAGAACGTAAGGGCTGATTTTCTCTCCACTTGGATGTCTTTCTTTGTGATACAGGCTGGGGGATTCTGGGCTTGATGTAGTTAATGTAGGGACACTTTCAACTGTGTGGCATGATGTCCCATAAATCCAGTTATGTTTGTGCTTGAGCTCCACAGAATCGTGGTGGCATTGGATGGTGACACGTGGGGGATGTGTTCACATTCTCCTTGTGAAGGCCGTGTTTTTCCCCATCTGCCTTTGTACTGGAAGCCTCCAAACCCGAGAATGAGGCTTTCCAATGATGATTAAGTCAGAGAGTTTGGGATTACAGACAGAGAATGCTCTTTCATTTATGACTAAAGGGAAATGGAGTGTTCTCATGAAATTGAGATTGGTATCTGGAAAATTATTATTTTCAGATTGAATTTTTGAGGCTAAGTTTGGATTTTCTGCAGAAAAGGTTGTGGCTTGCAGCAAAAGTTCTCATAATATCCATCTTTTGAAAGCAAGTCCTTCCAGTTAAGCCTGTACTTGACTAGAAAACCTGCTTCTTATTTTTTCCCTCAGAAACCCAAGATATAAATCTGTAATTAGATACCAGATAAGCATAATCACATGCTTCCTTTAAAAGTTCCTATAGTTGTCAAAATATATTATTAAGCGAAGTCAGGTTTTGTAAAATATTTTAAAAATAACACTTATGAAATGGCTAAGAGTGGTTACCTCTGAAGCAAGGAAGCATGATTTGTCATGGTAAGTTCTTTAATTTTTTTATGCTTTATGTGACTAGCATGATGAACATATTATTATTATCTTCATGGAACATCTTTATATTTATGTAAAAACAAAAGAATAACAGATGTTATTGAAGAAAGCATTAAACCAAAGTTGATCTAGGTGGAAATGTGCAAGGTCTGGTTATTTTCCCCTGACTCAATTTGTATCTATGCTGCATAGTCCTTGTTAAGGCAGTTAGCTGGCCCTCAGTATATCAGATCATTTGGATAAAAGCATGGTATACAAATAAGGAAGCACATGTCTACAAGAAAAGAAAGAAAAATAGATTTCACTTTTCCCCTTTGGCTTTAGGACTAAAATGATTTAAATAGCAGCTTCTCCCTTGTGGCAGCAGATCTATAGATAAAAATTACTCGAGGAGCTCATTGCCCTTTAATTAATGTCCTTGCTGTTAAAAAAAAAAAAAAAGAATCCATGAGCTGCATTCCTGCAGGAGAAAAAATCACTTGCTTAGTGAGTCTGCCACTACCTCTGCTAGCGACAATAACACCTTACCTTTGTTATCCTTCAACGAAAAGTTGTGGTTATTTGTGGCATCCGTTGTTAAGCTGAAGTAAAACTGGTGTCCATTGGATGGCTCATCTTTGTCAACTGCACTGATCTTCTGGATAACCTAGAAATAGAAAACGGAAGGCAGGGAAGCACACTGGTGTGCTCTGCTACATTTGTTGAGGCAGGACAGAGCAGTGTTACAGATCATAATAAATGTCATCTTCCCGAATGAGCTGGGGGAACCAGCAGATATACCTGTGTGAACCCAATCTATAAAGGGCCCTGAAAAACAGACCACAGCCTTTTCAAAGTGTGTGTTTGAACTTCTTTTCCTAAACCTCAGCAATGAGCCGCACCAATTGATTAGACATCCCAGTAAACATCACAACGATGTGAACACAGAACATTGACTGTGACTGAACTGCACTCCATTCTCAGAACTTCAAGGTTCTTAAACTCTGCCGTATAATGTGGGGAACAGCCCAATCCAGCTTAATATGCTATATTTCTCCTTAAAGGAGCTGAAACCCATAACCATTGAGCGGGGCTTTTATAAAGTTTACCTTTTCTTCCTGAGGAACTGTGGTCACCCAATTAAACCAGAATTTGAATGTTCCTTTCATATTAGTTTATGCTGCACATCAAAGCATTAGTTTTGCTGAAACATGCGGATGATATGTTATCTTAAAGCTGGGAGATTTCAAAGGCACTGCTGCTGGGTGTTCCTAAAGAAACCACAAACAAGAAGCAAGGTCTTCAAGCCTCTTACCTGCCCTGGCTGGGCATTTTCACAGACGGTGGTTTCGTAGTCCATGGCGAATTCGGGGGCGTTGTCATTAATGTCTAGTATAGTGATGGCCACGTAGCCTCTTCCTACCTGGGATGGATTCTCTAATAAATGAGAAAAATGTGTCACCATTTACTCTGAAAGAAAAGCTGCTATTCTGCTAATTTTCTCAGGGAATGTCCACAGAAAACTAGCAAAAACACTTAACATTAAAAATAAGGCAAAAATATTTGCATCTCTGAAGCATACGACTTAAATGAAATTTATACTTCTAATTCTACATTCTTTAAAGGGAGCCACAGATAATCTGATCCAAATATGTATGTGTTAATTTATGTGTATATATATATATACACACCTTCAGGCATATATGCATATATGAATACATGCAAATGGGTGTGTGCATATATGTATGTGGTAATCTATGTATGTACACAGTGTATATTTATATGGCGTGTATATATGTGCTTGTGTGTGTGTGTGTGTAGTCACCAAAAAGGAAAATATTGAAAGAAGAATGAACAGCAAACCATGAAATTTGATTTTATTTGAACCTAGAGATTATCTTTAATTGACTATAAATTTATATTACATACACAGTACAAAATGTGCATATGCATTAGCTAATATATATAATATGGATATAGTTTTTACATTTTTTTTCTGATCAGGAACTACAATTGGTTGTCAAAATATTCAAAAGTAGGTTTCTTGGTGTACAGATCAATTTACTAATTATGGTAAGTTACTTCTCCAATTCCCTACCAGCATGAATGAAATGTATGAACTGTGACCCCAAAGCAAGAGGACTTTTAAAGTTCATTCAGGCCCATTATCTTATAGTGCTGTCTTTTCACTAAATTTTTAAATATTAGAAAATATATGTCATTAATATTTTACATATTTGTAAGTATTAGCAAATATCTCTAGTGAACACAAATGTTTTACAGCTTGAAAGTTTTGAATTTTTTCATTTTTGGTCAACTTGATTAAATAACTATGATGATTCAAGTTTGTGATGTAGTCTTCAGCAACCTGTCCTCCACCCTCATTCTCCTCTATCCTCAGTTAATTTTAGACGTAACAACTTACGGCTCTCCATTGCAAGAACTGTGATGTTATGAATTGCATTTGTCTCTCGATCCAAAGATTTGGCAGTAGTAATAACTCCACTGTTGGCATCAATATTAAAGTATCTCTCCAAATCTGTGTTTCTGTCAATTGAATACCTAATTGGAAATTAAAAGCAAATAAGTAATTAAATAACATTTATGTTTGATGATGCTTTGCTAAAATTATTTCATTAATTTCATAACTAATCACTAAATCCTGCTGACTCCATGATCATGTTACTTCATGTTAGTAACATAAATCTATGTCGTCTTTAAAAATTCTCTCACATAGCCCTTGGCTCATGTCTTGTGTGTCTGTAATATTTTTGCTTTTCTAGCAAAGAGTTTAAACCACACACCACAACTTCATGTACAATCACAAGATTGGGATCCTAATTAGAATAATTCATACTCCAAGTATGTATAATATGTCAAAATACACTCTACTGTCATGTATATCTAAAAAGAATAAATACAAAAAATGAAAAAAAATACATACCACAATATAATTATTTTTACAGTGGCTTTGGGTATATGGTTATAACTTCGAATTCATTATTTCTATTATTATGCTCTTGAAAAATATTGAAAAGAGATAGTGGCACTGGCCATGGCTCTAGGTCCCTCTGGAATACAACATATATAGACAACTCGCCATTTGCATATATTTATTAACTTCTTTTTTTTTATAACAACAACCTGATCATTATTTATTTTATCTCTCACCATTTTATATCTCATCGTCTTGATCAGGGTGCCAAAGGCATTTCCAAGTAGAACCCCTAAAATTGCATCTGCAACCTAAATATTAGTGAAAACCTACTGTTTCACTTGTATTCTTATCCCATGTTACTTTTTCCCTAAAAAATAATGGTTGTCTCTATTCAACATCATTCTTGATAATCTAGCCAGAGCAATTAGAAGAAAGAAATTAAAGGGATACAAATAGATAAAGAAGAACTCAAACTATCTCAATTTGCTGATGACATGATTCTATATCTAGAGGATCCAAAAAATTCCACCAGAAAACTTCTAGAATCAATAAACAAATTCAGCAAAGTAGTAGGATATAAAATCAACACCTATAAGTTAAATGCATTCCTATACAGCAGTGATGAATCCACTGAAAGAGAAATTAGGGAAACTACCCCATTCACAAGAGCCTCAAAAAATATAAATATAATATCTGGGAATCAATCTAATAAAAGAGGTGGAAGACCTCTGCAATGAAAACTACAGAACACTAAAGAAAGAAATTGAAGAAAACCTCAGAAGATGGAAAGATCTCCCATGTTCCTGGATAAGCGGAATTAATATTTTCAAAATAGCCATACTACCAAAAGTGTTTTACAGATTTAGTGCAATTCCTATTAAGATATTTAAGACATTCTTCATAGAAATAGAAAAAGCAATCATAAAATATATTTTTTAAAAAGAAGAAACCCAGAATAGCCAAAGCAATCTGTAGCAAGAAAAGTGAAGGAGAAGGCATCACAATAGCAGATCTTAAACTACAGAGGTATAGTAAGAAAAACACCATGGTATTGGCATCAAAATAGACTTGTAGACCAACAGTACAGAATAGAGGACACAGAGACAAACCCACATAAATATGGTTATGTCATACTAGACAAAGGTGCCAAAAACATTCACTGGAGAAAACGTAGCCTGTTCAACAAATGATGCTGGCAAAACTAGAAATCTATATGTAGCAAAATGAAATTAAACCTCTCTCTCTCACCCTGCACAAAAATCACCTCCAAATGGATCAAAGACTTAGGCACTAGAACAAAGACCCTGGGCCTAATAGAAGTAAAAGTAGGCCCAAATCTTTACCATGTCGACCTAGGATCTGACTTCCTTAACAAGACTCCTAATGCGCAAGAAGTAAAATCAAGAAATGTGATGAATTCAAATTAAAAAGCTTCTTCTCAGCAAAGGAAGCAATCAGTAATGTGAGAAAAGAGCCTACTGACTGGGAGAAAATTTTTACCATGTGCACCTCCAATAATGCATTAATCTCTAAGATATATAAAGAACTCAAACAATTTAAAACCAAAAAAACCAAATAACCCTATCAATAAATGGGCTAAGGAAATGAACAGACACTTCACAGAAGAAGAAATATAATCAATCAACAAGTATATGAAAAAGTGTTCACCATCTCCAGCAATTAGAGAAATGCAAGTCAAAACACCAGTAAGCTTTCATCTCACGCCTTTCAGAATGACAATTATCAAAAATACAGGCAACGATAAACGTTGGTGAGGATGTGGAGGAAAAGGCACACTCATACATTGCCAGTGGGACTGCAAATTGGTACAACCACTATGGAAAGCAGTAGGGAGAACCCTCAGAAAACTTGGAATGGAACCACCATTTGACTCAGCTATCCCACTCCTTGGTTTATATCCAAAGGACTTAAAATCAGCATACTGCAGTGACACAGCCACATCAATATTTATAGCAGCTCAGTTCACAATAGCTAGACTATGGAACCAACCTACGTGTCCTTCAATAGATGAATGGATAAATAAAACGTGATATATATATATATATATATATATATATATATATATATATGTATTCATTCAATGGAATATTACTCAGCTTTAAAGAAGAATGAAATTATGGCATTTGCCCATAAATGGATGGAGTTAGAGAACATCATGCTAAGTGAAATAAGCCAATTCCAAAAAAAAAAAACAAAGGCCAAATGTTTTCTCTAATATCTGGATGCTAATTCACAATAAGGCAGGGAGCACTAGAGAATAGTAGTGTTACCTTAGATTAGGTAGAGGGAAGTGAAGGGAGGGGATGGGAGGTGATGTAGGGATAGGAAGGATAGTAGAATGAACAGACATATTGCTGTATGTATGTATGATCAATACGATTTGCAACATGTACACTCAGAAAAATGAGAAATTATATCTCATCTATGTATATCAAATGCATAAATGCATTCTACTGTCATGTACAACTAATTAAAACAAATAAAAAATTTTAAAAATATAATAATCATTTTCACAGTCCCCCAACAGTCTTTCTAGTTGGGAAAGACAAAAGTTCTCATTTCAAGACAATTAATTAAATAAACAAACTAAGGAAAAAAAAACAAAACAGAAAAACACACATAGTGTAGGCATGATGATTAACAACTGATTCAACTACACCCTGAGCTGTCATTGTCTGGGTCTCCTTGACTCCTATGACATGTTCCTCTACCACAATTCAGGCATAGATTCTTAAGAGCACACCCATAGCTCGAGAGCTTTTACCATGCAGTACTACTGAAGCCGAAACTCAAGCATGTGACTCCCTATTCCTGCTCCTGCCACTCCAGCACCCTGCCTCCGGCATCCTGATGAAGACGACATATTTTTAATACCAGCACATTTCCTTCAATCCCTCACTTCTTTCTCACTAGGTCATATATCCCTGGTCCTGATTACTATCGCTCCCATGTATGTATATGTACTTCCTGCAGTCAAAATTGCTGGATTGAAACAGGAAAGACTATTTAACATCTTTTGTTTTTTTCTTTTTTGTTGAGTCAGGAATTTGGGAGTGTGTTGGTAGGGCCACTTTTAGCTCTTGGTTTCTCAGGAGGTTGCAGTCAAATGCTGGCGGGGCTGCAGCCCTCCAATGCCTGACTAGGCCTGGAAGATTCATCTCCATAGTGTTTCATTCACCTGGATGCAATGTGAATGGCATGGACGACACATGCACTGAGGAATCTTTCCAATGTTCATTACTGATTCATGCTTTTTTGAAGCTAGGATACCTGGAGTTATAGATTCCTACATCACTTCAAACAATTTGGAAAACGAATAGCACAAGCTACATTATGACTTTATCATTAATATTAAAGTAACAAGAAAAAAATTTGGGAGGGGTGTACAGTTCTGAGAATTTTACCACATGCATAGATCATGCAGGCACCACTTATCATGCATCACCACCACAGTGTGGTGTCCATCACCTCAAGGCTCCCTTGTGCTGTCTCTTTGTAGGTACATACCATCCCATTGGTAGTCCATGGAGAACACCCATCACTATAATCTCATGCTTTTGAGAATATTGTATAATGCAATCATAGAAAGCAATCTTTTAGGACTGACTTCTCTAACTCAGTGTAAAGACTGAGGTTCACGAACGCTGTGCCCATGGTTTGTGTTATTTATTTAATTAAAATGTCCATGCATTTTTAATGTTGGGCAGTAGTCCATCAAATGAATGCATGCCAGCATGTTTACCCATTCATATACTGAAATATATTTGGGTTGGTATCAATGTGCAAACACAGCTACTGTAAACATTCATGTGCAAGTTTTGTTTCAACACATTATCTTTTCCCTAGGGCATAGGATCACTGGGTCCTATGTTGATAGGTAACTGCCAAAATGTTTTCAAACATACCTCTCCAATCTGCATTCCCATCAGAAACAGATGAGAGTACTAGTTATTCATCTCACCACATGGTGCTTTCTAATTTACATTTCCTTAATGATAAATTACCCTGACCACATTTTCTTGTGATTATCTGCCATATGCAGGCCCTCTTTTGGGAAATATATGTTCAAATAGGTTGCCCATTATTAACTGGGTTATTTTTTTCTATTGTACAAAGTTTTGAGAGCTCTGTATGCATACTTAATTAATACAAGACCTTTGCTAGCAATGTGATATACTTTCCCCAATAAATTGCTTTTCATTTTCTTTGAAATACTTTAATCCTGATAAATTCATAAATATTAATTTATTTATATAATGTGTATTGATATTTATTATATATTACATATATATCTATATGTATGATCATATAATATGCATATTACACACATTATGACAGGTATTATGTGTATATCCCTTTTCCTTGTCATTCCCCTTTTCCCTTTTCTTATTCCTCTTCCTTCCAAGGATGGTGCTCTGGTTGCCATGTTTAAGAGCTTTATGTCTACCCCTGTGTAATGAATATATTTTTTTCTTTCAATACTTTAATTATTTTTCATTTTACATTAGAAATACAACCCATTGTGAGTTAAATTTTGTGTAAGATGTAAAGTTAGGCCATATGCACATACGCTTATCCAGTTGTCATGTCATATCCTCAAAAC